TTATTGATGTGTCGTTTCCATGCTCGCCCGTCGTTTGTTAGTAGTCGGTACGAGCGGGGACCCGTTACCTGGGTTATCATTGCCGGTATCCAGAGTGGGTCCCCTGTGAAGTTTTTCGCATAGACCGCGTCTCCTGGTGAGAACGTCCGGTGCTTGCTGGTGGAGTCGGAGGGCTTCTCTGGGTTGTATGTGGGGTGCAGGCGGTTGAGTGGTGATCGCAGCTTTCTTCCAATCAGCAGCTCTGCCGGGCTCTTGTTCGTTGTTGTGTTCGGGGTTATGTGTTGTATGAATAGCATCCTGTTGATTTTGTCCTGTATTTCCCCGGTTTCGATTTTTTGAATTGTCTTTTTCGTGAACTGGACCATTTTTTCCGCCCTTCCGTTCGCCGCTGCGTGAGCCGGTGCTGTCAGCGCGTGCCGAATCCCCCATTCTGCTAGGAATCTTTCAAAGGGTAGTGCAGTGAACTGGGGCCCGTTGTCTGATACGATGACATCTGGGAGGCCGTGGGTTGCGAATAGTTTGCTGAGTTCCTTGATGACGGCTTCTGTGGTGGTTGTTCTCATGTTGCTTACCTCCAGCCAGTTGGAGTAAGCGTCTACCGTCACCAGGAAGGTGGGTCCTTTGGTGGGTCCCGCGAAATCTATGTGGATCCGGGACCATGGCCCTCTGGGGGTTTCCCATTCTAGGACTGGGGCGGCGGGGGGGCTTGATCTGGATTCTTGGCACTGCTTGCACGATGCCACCCAGGCTTAGATTTCTTTGTCCATCCCTGGCCACCAGGTGTGACTTCTGGCCAGGGCTTTTGTTCTAACGATGCCAGGGTGCCCTTCGTGCAGCATGTCCAAGACTCTTTTCTGTAGTTTTTCCGGGATTATGACTCTGTCCCCCCACAGTAAACAGCCCTTTTGTGTGAAGAGTTCTGTTTGGCGGCTCCGGAAGGTTCTGAATTGCTCATCATCGTCCTTTTCCGGCCACCCTTTCTCCACCCATCTTAGAACCCGCGCCAGACGTTTGTCTTTATTTGTTGCCAGGGCAATGTCTGACACGGTTAGGGGGAGATTGGGTAAAGTCTCTATGCTCAGGGTGGACATGGTGGGTGCTGGGTCAGGGTCCAGGTCGGGCAGCGGTGTGCGGCTTAATGCATCTGCATGCGGGATTGACTTACCGGGGCGATGGTCCAGCCGGTAATTGTAGGGGATAGGATGTTCGGGGTGGCTCTGTCCCCCGCCAGGATTCCGAGCAGCGGTTTGTGGTCTGTGATGATGGAAAAAGTCCTGCTGTAAAGGTACTCGTGGAACTTCTTTACGGCTGTGACGATTGCCAGGGCCTCTTTGTCTAGCTGGCTGTAATTCCTTTCCGGTTTTGAGAGAGTCCTTGAAAAGAAAGCGATGGGTGCTTCTTTTCCATCGGCGAGGGTGTGGCTGAGGACGGCCCCGACGCCGAAAGGGGACGCGTCGCACGTTACGGTTAGGGGTAGTGTCTCGCTGTATTGGATGAGAACAGCGTCCGATGTGAGCAGGTCTTTTGTTCTGTTGAATGCGTCTTCCTCTTGTCTTCCCCAGATCCAGGTGGCTGTCTTGTCGAGCAGCCTATGCAATGGTTCCGCCGCGGTTGCCTTTTGGGGCAGGAAAACATTATAGAAGTTAATCAACCCCAGAAACGCCTGCAATTCGGTTTTATTTCTTGGTCTGGGGGCTTCCTTGATGGCTCTGATTTTTTTTTCGGTTGGGTGGATCCCGTGCTGGTCTAGGAGGTACCCTAGGAATTCGACTCTTTCTGTGCGCAGCTGACATTTTTCTTTCTTGACTTTTAGCCCTGCGTCTTTGAACCTTTCAAGTACCTCCCTCAGACGGCTTTCCAGTTGTTTTTGGTCGGCCGCTGATACCAGCACGTCGTCAAAATAGGGCACTACCCCTTTGATGCCCTGGAGGAGCCTCTCCATTACTTTGGAAGACCCCCGGGGCTACGCTGACTCCAAATTGGAGCCTCTTGCAGCGGAATGCCCCGCGGTGGGTGACTATGGTCTGCGCTTCTGCGGTTTCCTCGTCAACTGGCAGTTGCTGATAAGCTTGTGCCAGGTCGAGTTTGGTGAAAATCTTGCCCCCCCCCCAAGTGAGTGTAGGAGGTGCTGCACTACTGGGACAGGGTAGGCGCTTTGTTGCAGCGCGCGATTGAGGGTGGCCTTATAGTCACCGCAAATTCTCACTGATCCGTCTGGTTTTACTGGGGTGACTATAGGGGTCTCCCACCTGGCATGGTCTGTTGGTTCGAGTACTCCCTGTTCGATGAGCTTATTTAATTGCTCGTCGATTTTGGGCCTGAGCGCAAAGGGTACTCGCCGGGGTTTGAGGCGGATTGGGGCGATGGTGGGATCTAGGCTGAAGGTTATCGGGGCCCCTCGGTACTTGCCTAGGCTGCCGTCGAAGACTTCTTGGAAATCCCGCGCGAGCTGCTCCTCCCAGTCCGCCTCGGCGACGTGGTTGGTGCCGGTCACCTCTATTCCCAGCGGCGCGAACCATTGGAGTCCCAAAAGGCTGGGGCGGTCCTTCTCGACGACGGTCAGGGGGAGTATCTCGGTGCGCCCTTTGAACGTGACTTTGAAGTGTCCGATTCCTACCACGGGGATGCGGTTTCCCTGGTAGTCCTTGAGGATGAGTTTCTGGCTTTCCAGTTCTCGCCGCTGTATGGTTGGCACCAAACGTTTGATTTCCCACCATGCGACCATGGATAGGTAGGACCCGGAGTCCACTTCGATTTTGCATGGGCGGTCCTCAATGGCCACCTCCACGTGGACCTTTCGGCCATCCCAGTTGGATGAATGGCCGATGACGACCGTCTGGTGGGTTTCTTCACGTTGCCGGGCCTCGTTGAAACGCCTGTTTCTTCCTTCCCGGCTCCATCGGCTCTCGGTGTTTTGGTCTCGGTTCCTCGGGGGGGTGCCGTCTCGTCTCCGCAGGCTGCTGTCTTGGCGCCGGGGCCTGTAGTTCCTTTTAAAATGGCAGACCTTGGCGATGTGGCCCCGTTTGTCGCAGTGCCGGCATATCGCGTCGAAAAACTGGCATTTCGACCGTGGGTGATCGCCGCCGCAACCGGCATACTGGAACCTCAATTTGCGGCTCCGCTGCTCGCGCCGGTCGCGTTCCGTCTGTAGCCGGTGGATGTCTTCCTCGTCGTCCTCGGAGTTGGTGGGGGAGTTGAGGTTGCCGTGGTGTGTGGAGGTGGTTGTTCGGCGGTTGGTCTCGGGCTGCCTCTCGAGGATCGGGGTCGTCTCGGCCGTGGCTGGGCGATCCGTGGTGCTTGCTTGCCACATCCGGGCCGCTGATCTCCTGGTCGCCTCCGCTGCGGTGGCCTCGGTGAGGGCATCGGTGAGGGATATGTCGCCCTTCGCCATGAGCCGGCTCTGCAGGACGGGGTCTTTGAGGCCGAGGATGATGCAGTCTCACAGGGCTTCGTCGAGGTCGGTGAACCCGCACAGGCCCCCGAGGTCCCGTAGATCAGCCATGAAGTCGCTGATGCTCTCGCCCTCTTTTTGATCCCGCCAGTAGAAATTGTGTCGGCGGATGAGGGTGGGCACCGCAGGCGCGTAGTGACTTCGCAGCAGGGGTTCGAGATCGGCCCAGTCCATTGCTTTCACGTCGAGGGGTTTGGCGAGGGCCTTCACCATCTTAAACACTGCGGGCCCGCAGTGGGTCAGGAAAACGGCCCTTTTTTTCTGCCCATTTGCGTCTTTGAGATTGCTGCTCTCCAAGAACATGAGGAATCTATCGATGTAGGATTCCCAGTCCTCAGCAGCTTGGTTGAAAGGTGCGGGTGGCGCGGTGCCACTGGCCATGTTGCCTGTTGCTGTTCCGCGTGCCACGTGCGATGTGGGTCTTGCTTCAGGATCCCATCCTCGTCGCCAGTGTTGTATCGGCCGATACGATCACAAAAGACGCGAGGCAGTGACTGGTTTTAGCTCTTTTTATTTAGGTTTTAAAATCTGCCGCCAGCTGGGTATGCGGCGGCTTATATGGAATTGGCGCCGGGCGCCGCAGCCAATGACAGCCGTTCGAATTGCCCGCAATCGACTTGGCCAATCGCGGTCGATTCCGAACGGCCAATCAGTGCCACGCGCTCTACCAATCTGGTTGCTGTGCGCTTGTCCAATCAGGACTGCAGGATTTCAAGAAAGTTAATGTCCATACAGAACAGAGTTGAAACAGTTTATGACTGGGATGTGAGGGGTCTGTAAATATTTTCACAGCCCTCTTTTTGACTTGTGAAGTATACAGGACCTCAGTGGAAGGCAGGTTGGTAACAATTGTTTTTTCTGCAGTCCTAATTTCTCTCTGAAGTCTGTGTCTGTCTTGTTGGGTTGCAGAACCAAACCAGACAGTTATGGAGGTACAGATGATAGACTCAGTAATTCCTCTGTAGAACTGTATCAGCAGCTCCTTGGGCATTCTGAGCTTTCTGAGTTGGGGCAGAAAGAACATTCTTTGTTGTGCTTTTTTGATGACGTTTTTGATGTTAGGTGTCCATTTTAGGACTAATGGACAGTCTGAGAGCTGTCAGTGAATGCCCCTACCCTCCCTTCTCCTCTCCATGGGCTGATGTGGTTTCTTCCCCTTTTGTTCTAGGAAAAGGCTTCGGGGCACTGCTGAGGGCCTCTTTGCAAGCAGCAGCCCCAAGACCTGGGAGTGCCTGCCAGTGGGCAGGAGTGGGCTGCAGGGAAGGAATAGGAGACCAGACTCCTTTTTCAAATTATTTGGGATTACAGGGCTAGAAATCTGTTAAGTCTGAAGGAGAATTCAAAACTGATTTGCTTTTTGCCGCACATAAATATATCTACCAAGATTGTTCAGCAATCAGTTTTGTGGATATATTTTTATGTATGGCAAGAATCAAAGCAGTGAGTGAATTCTCCTTCAGGAATTATACTCAGGTACTCCAGGAGAATCTGGTTGTCTTAAAGAATAAAAGTTAGCCAACTTCAGCTGATTTTGAAAAAGCTAGGAGACATGAATTGGGAGCTGAAAAACATCCTGTCCAAACAGTGCAGGCACAGAGAAAGGGAGCAAGTGAGCCTCACTGCTCCTGCCTCCCTCACCTTGGGTGGTGTCACAGCAAGCGGCTCCAGCAATGTTAGGTGACCGCACAGACTGGGAGGGAGGAGCGAATCCCACCACTGCAGCTGGCCCTTCCCCTGCCCACCCACCAGCCTGGGAGCCCTTGGCTGCTGTGCCAGTGGCAGCGCTACTTTGCAAGTTGGTGGCAGCCCCTTCCCCACACACCCATGTGGCTACACTGGCGTCATCTCCCCTCAGACAGCTGGCCCTGTCCTGCGCCATTTGGGCTTACCTTCAGCAGCAGTAGTGCGATCAGAAGTGCGGTTCAACCTTCGAAATAACTAACCAGAAGTGCTGCTGGAGTGGATGCATGCTGGAAGATAAAGCCGACGGTGACGGGCGGGGTGAGGGGCAGAGCTGAATCCCAACACTACTTTGCGTTGGTGAGCCATATCCGTCCCATGGGCCATAATTTGAGGCCCATGTGACATAGTTTCCCCACCTTATACCTTGTTGAAAAAATCAGGCCAGACAGTTTAGCTGACTTTCTTTTTTTCTGTCAGGAATTGCCAATTATTAGCTGAGAGTAGACCAGCAGCACACTGCTGCCCTTGGCTGTTTCTGGCAAGGAATAAAGAAAATGCTATTTATTTATATTTTAAGGAAATTTATATTTCCGCCTATTTGCACATAGCGACTCAAAGTGGTTTACAGAAATATAAAACAATAAAACTAATAAAAAAGAATGAGCAACCAATGAGCTCCCGCAAGAGCGATGAAACATGCACACCGGGGTCTGCCCAAAACCATGCGGGCCACTGCATTTTGCACCAACTGGAGCTTCTGGATGCTCTTCAAGGGCAGCCCCATGTTCCAATAGTCAAAATGGGAAGTGACTAGGGCATGAGAGACCATGAGTAGGGATTGTCGGTCCAGGAAAGGGCATAACAGACACACAACCTGCAGTTGTGCAAAGGCCCTCCTGGCCACAACCACCACCTGCTCTTCAGGCAGGAGTTGTGAGTCCAAGAGAACCCCCAGATTACACACAGGTTTTGTTTGGGGTAGTACCACCTCATCTAAGACCAAAGGTGACAATTCTCTCTGGGCCAAACCCCAAACCCAGAGGCACTTGATCTTGCTAGGGTTCAGTTTCAACCCGTTGCTCCCCATCCACCCCTTAACAGCCTCCAGGCACTGCAAGAGGGAGGACATGGCATTGCTTAACTCACCACAGGGTAAGATATACAGCTGAGTATCATCAGCATATTGACAATTCCTCAGTCTATGGGAGTATGTGCTCAAGCACCTGTGTTTTAGACCCACGTCCCTCCTGGCTTGTGAAAGCTTTCTGGGAGGTGACAGGCGGGTGAACTTTGACAGTGATTAATGCTTCCCTATAGGAGGGGGTAGTGCCCCAGTACTTTAAGGAGGCTGTAGTCCACCCTCCTCTTAAGAAGCCATCACTGGATTCCACCCTGTTGGATAATTTCCTATCTGTCTCCAATCTTAGCTTTTGAGGGAAGGTTATTGAGAAGGTCGTTGCACAGCAGCTCCAGGGGTTTCTGGATGAAATGGATTATCTCAACGCCTACCAGTCAGGATTCAGGGCTGGATATGAGACAGAAATGGCATTGGTCACACTTTTGGATGATTTCTGATGGGAGCGGGATGGGGTAATACATTCATCCTTCCTCTACTTGATCTCTCACCTACTTTTGATACCATTGAACATGGTATTCTTCTGAAGCAGCATCGGGGGATGAGAATGGGAAGCCTTGTATTATCCTGGTTTACTTCCTTCCTCTGCGGCCACTCTTAGTCAGTGTTGATAGGAGGGGAGAGATCCAGCCATCGTCCACTGCTTTGCGGGGTTCCACAGGGCTCGGTACTCTCTCCATTCCTGTTCAACATTGTATATGAAGATGTTGGGCGAGATCATCCGTTACCATGTAGACAAATGTTAATCTTAGAGTAAGAGTTTGATATATTTTTTACTTATATCTGTACCAAAGAAAGTTGGAAGTTATTCTTTTTTGGTTTTGCTTCTTTCTTTCTTACACTTTTACTCTTTTTCTTTCCTGGGCCTTTTCTTTTTTCAAATCTTTTTTAACATTTGTTTATCCTTTAGCTTTATATTTTTTGAGGATCAAATACTCAGCCATTATAATTCTACATTCCTTATTTACAGAAATCATGTCAAAATTTAGAATGAAACCCACTGGGAGCCATCTCATATAAAGCAGGCTCTGAGTCCCTCTAACCAAAAAGTATTTATCAATAGAAGAGAATATTTGTAGTTCAGGGTTGAACTGTGATGGTTTTCTTGCAGGTGTTTCATTACCAAACTAGGTAACATCATTATTGCTAGAAGGGAGTGGAGTTTGCTCTTATTTTCATATACTAGTGGCTTATCCTGTCAATGTTGATCAGTTGCTTCACAGTTGCATCAGTTGTTTTGATTGGTGCCGGATCTCTACAGCCTCAAGCAGAGATGGGCTATTCTGCACGCCTCCCTCCAATGTTTTTTTTAAAATACAGAGTTTCCCAGCATTCCTTTAGGAACCTCCAACCTGCAAACTGTGACTACTCATCCTAAAATGAATCCTCTTTACCCGGAGCTTCAAAATTTGCTGTTTGATGGGGAAGTGTGTAGCTAAAAGTCACCCTATATTTAGTGTATCTGACTTTGGGGATATTTCTTCATAACCAAACGAAAGTGTATTTTTTGTGCAGTTCACACACCTTGCTCACTGGATGTAGATGTCACAAAGCGAAGGCCACATTTTGTAATTAACCCCTGTGCCCCATTTTCATTGGCAGAGTGCTGCAGGAGGCTGAGTGCTGTCACGCCCCCTGGCTATGCCCACCCAGCCAGTCTTTAGGGTAGAGAACTGGTTGTTAAATTATTTGAATCCCACCACTGGATATGTTTCAATACATCCCATGATTAAAGCATTTGGTTCCACTCTGTATTAGTAAATGAAATTTAAGTGTTCTTCTCCTTTAACTGTAATCTTTAGTTCCTTCTGGTTCCCTCTAATGTGCAACCTTCACAATACAAATGGGTGAGCTCATAATTTCTCTTTCTTCTAGAGAGATTTTACTGGCTAGAATTCACTGTATGTCCAGTGATCTCTGCCACAATGTTCTCCCGCTCCTTCGGGGACATCTGATTCACCATGATTCTTCATTGAAAGTCTCTTTTTTTTCTTTTTCATTATTTCAACACTGTCCTCATCAGAGGTCACAGATATTTTGTAAACAAAACAGCAATGAGAACTGTAAAAGTGTGTATGTATAAATAAGCTTGAAGTTCTTACTAGTGCATTAATTACAGAATTAGTAGGTAACAAGGTATACTTGCTACAATGTTGTCTATTGGATACAAAGTTTATATTCAATTTCAGATACTAGTGTTCACTGAATTATAATTTTCTTTATTTTATGTTTGACACTATCTATAACTTTCTAGTCATTTTAATGACAGACAGGCAAGGTTTCCAAAAATCTTTGGTTTCATTTCTGTGAGTGAACAGTGATGGTAATTCATTTATACTTTTTCTCCAAGGAAAGTTAATTTTAGTGCAAAACTGGGGTGATTAACTTCCTCACATTTTGAAACAGATAATTTGTCAAAGACAACAGCTAGTTTACCGTAGCTGTTGATTAACTTGTATGAAGTACATTTTTTACAGTCCTGGGTCTTCAAACTCTAAAGCCTTATGAAGGGATGTAGAAAGACTTTTGATTCAATATCCATATTTATCCTAAGAGTAGATTCATACATTATATCCAGTCATGGTTTTAGTATGATTTATTGAATAAAAACTGCAATTGCTTAGTTTCACATGATACGCTAACAAATAAGTCATAGTTTTAAATCAGTAATGGATTTACACAATACCTTACCTACAAAACAAAATTTATATGCTTTTATATAGTAAGAAAACCCAACCCAACCCCAACACAATATTGTAGTACAATTATCTGGACTACAGCCAACAGCTAGAGTGGCCATTATGACCTCATGTCTGTAATAGTATAGCCAAGGTAGTACGTTTGTGGTTAAGGGTTAACAGAGAAATAGATTTTGCACATGGGTGTGTTTATGAGAAAAAAATAGAGGAATACTATTTTACCACTAAAAGACAAAATGTTCAATTGGTAAAAAATATGCAAAGTGTTCTAAGAAATTGAATAGAATATCCTTTATTGGGTTACACACAAGGAATTTGTCTCCAGTGTATAAGCTCTCAATATACATACAAACAACGAAATGATAAATAAAATTAAATATATCTTTTAATAGACAAAAGATGCACTCAGAAGAGGACAGTGCTTTCTAAAATAAGTGGTGGGGGTTAATTATTAAGCCTTAAATTTGATTGCTTCCTATTTCTGCTGCAATCGCTTAATCCTGAGTCACAGAAAGCTTAAGACAGTATTACGGGGCTGTTTTTTCTCTTTTTGCCTGAAGTCCCAACTGAAGGATACTAGCACAAAGACGGTTAGGAAAACTGTTACTGTTACTTGCATTTGCCTGAGCAACCACCATTGCTTATCCTGAGCTTTGCCAACCAAGTAAGATGTCCTTCTATGCTTCATCCTTCATGTACAATTTGCATAAAAAATGTAACATTTAGAATATTAAGATTGCAGATGTGTGCATGTTACGTCTTTCAGTAACACACAAATTTTGGCTATAAAAATAATTTGATTAGTTCTTTAGAACAACTATTAATTTTCTTAAGGATAAAAAGCCTATTAAAATCCTGTTGTAGTGTCCCTTTATGGCCTCTTTGATGGTAATTGTTCAATAAAGGGTGAAATAATTTTGTGTATATTATATTTAGTCTAGAGTATAGATCCTAGAAAGAGTGCAAAAAAAGGGGGCCTGGAAGTTAAACCATATGATCAGTATGGGTATAGAGGGAACTTGTATGTCTACTCAGTGTAATGAAGAAAAGGACTACAGCTGATATGATAACAGTCTTCTGATTTTTAAGGGGCTATTACAGAAAAGAAGGGTTTACCTATTCTCCAAAGCAGGGGTCTCCAACCTTGGCAACTTTAAGACTTATGGACTTCAACTCCCAGAGTTCCTCAGTCAGCTTTGCTAACTGAGGAATTCTGGAAGTTGAAGTCCACAAGTCTTAAAAGTTGCCAAGGTTGGAGACCCCTGCTCCAAAGCACCTGAGGACAGAACAAGAATTGACAGTAGAACATCATTAAAGTGAAATCTAACCTAGAAATAAGGAGAAATTTCCTGACAGTTAATTAATTAGTAGAATGGCTTCCCTCTAGAACTTGTGGGTGCTCCATTACTGGAGATTTTCAAGGAGAGACTGGACAGCCATTTGTCTAGCATGGTATTAGCTTTCCTGCTTGAGCAGGGGTTAGACTGGAAGAGCTCCAAGGTCGCTTCCAACCCTATTGTTCTATGTTCTATGAACATTTTAGAATTGAAATCCGTGTAAGTAGCCTGTGATTACCCCCCATGGTGAATATCCCCAACTTACAGATTTCCTTCTTTTGCATTTATATTTAAAGCAAACTTTCTTGGAACCTTAATTTTTTTTAAGTGAAGTGTCTTCTGAACAACCATGAAATATAAACAAATGTATGCTCTGATCTACTGAAAAATACAGATCATCTGCATCAGGCAATGTGAATTGTGTGTTTGATTTTATTTTTTTCCCTTGTAATAGATGCACAGAATGCTTTCAAAGTATGGCTTAGTATCAAAACAGCTCTAAAAGAAAATTACAGTCAGTGAAATATTTACATCTACCATTTTAAGATTTTTTTCCCCATAAAATAGCATAAGTTGCACTTATATCCATCATAATGAAATGTTTTGAGAGGCTGATAAAGGACATTATTGTATCCGGCCTCCCTCCAGCATTTGACTCTCTTCAGTTTGTTTACCATCCAAATAGCTCTACACAGGATGCTATTTCTTCTGTTCTCCATTTGAGCTTGGTCCATTTAGAGGAAAGAAACACTTATGTGCGAATGCTGTTTGTCAACTTCCGTTTGACATTTAATACAATCATGCTTCAGCATCTAGTAGACAAACTGGGCCTTTTAGGCTTGAATACCCTGCACAACTGGATTCTTGGTTTTCTTATTGATGTGCAAATTTCTAACACCATTTTCTTGAGCACAGGTTCTCCCCAGGGCTGTGTCCTCTGTTGTTCACCCCGCTGATCTATGACTGTTGTGCTAGATTTGCCACCAACCGTATTGTGAAGTATGCAGATACAACAGTAATGGGCTTTATTCAAGATGACAATGAGGGTCTCACTGCAAGGAAGTAGAGGAACTGATGTAACAAAGCAGTCTCATTTTAAATGTAGGAAAGACTAAAGAGATCATTGTCAATTTCAGAAAAGGCAGGCACAGCCACACACCTCTACATATTAATGATTCACCTGTGGAAGTGATCAGCAGCATCAAGTTTCTGGATGTTCAGCTAATGAATAGGCTAGCTTGGTCACTCAACAGTGAGACACTGGTGAAGCGAGCACATTCTTTGCATTTTCTGGGTTGCATGAGAAAAGTTTACCTTTCTTCCCCTGTCCTTACCACTTTCTATAGAGCGACGATCTAAGCTATCTAAATTAAACCAAATCAGGTTTAAATGTTCATTGATCAAATCAGCAGCTTTTAATGCAGACTTTATTTAGACAGCCAATGCAACAGTTTAGTCTGTAAAAGTAAGCTATTATTATTACACATAATTTCAGTGCCACTGAGCAGTTTGCAGAAAGAGAAATATGATAAAATTTATAAAAGATGTAACATTTTAAAATACATAGATAAAATATATGTCTCTATACTGTAATACTATTTCTGTAATTGTCAAAAGCATGTACTGTTTTCCCTAGAGGCTATGGGAGGAAAATGTATGTTTCTAGCTCTCCGTGTATACCAATCAGTCGGTTTGTTTGTTTTTTAAGTATAGCTGGGATGCTACTGAAGAAATTCTATTTAAAGCAGTGTTAGCTTATGCAATGAGAAGATATTTGATTCAAGAAACAACCCAGTTAAGTATACACAATATTTTGTAAATATTCTTACTTAATTGGATGTGCATACTTCTACCTTATTGTGGACTGGAAATAACTTGCATACATCAGGGATTTGAGGAACACTTTGGAAGTTCTGAATACTTTTAGCCCGAAAAAGACTAGGAGATACACCCACTCTCTTCAAACATTAAGTGACTGTCAGAAGATGCGCCAGATTTGTTCAGAATTGTTCCAGAGTACAGGACAAGAAACCATGAGTGTAAATGGCAAGGAAGAAGATTTCTATTGGATATCAGAGAACATTGTTAACAATAACAGCTGTGAAGCAATGGAACAAACTGCCTTGGGAAATGATAGCTTCTTCATTACTGAAGGAGCTTAAACAGAAGCTGGATGGCTCTCTGACAGAAACACTCCAATAATTGATTCTGCACTAGGATTTTGGGCTGAATTACCCCCAAGCTCCCTTCCAATCGTTACACTCCTTGATTCTCTGAAGATATCTGTGTAGGTCAGAGTTTCTACTTTAACTGAGAGGAGCTCTTCTGAGTTCCAGGTAAAACCTTTTCAGGATCTATTAGAAGATAGTGGTGCACAAAATGTTCTGTTTTATGGATAGGGTGTTAAAAATATTATTCTTCCTTCAGTTCGCATCAGTCTGGCTGTCCTGGGAGCAGTTTAATAGTTTTGTGAAGTAAATCTTCTAGAATGAAGAAGTGGTTAGTGCTGTCCCATTCAATTAGGAACTGGACCACAAGATTTATTTTCAGGAAATGACTCAAAGGCTGAGACGAACTTTATATCCCCTGGAATAGTCTATCCATTAAACAGAACACTTTCATATACTGATACCTATATCAGTTCCCTTTAACTTAATTCTTCCCTTTAAGAGCCAAAATCTATGCCTTTCATTGAGAAGATTTGAAAGCCTTACTGTTCACCAACCAGTAGCAAATTGCTAATTTCTCTTCTCTGTAATCAAAACAAATTATACTTTATCTAAAAAGTTGACAAATATTAATGTATAAGGAATAGTAATTTGCTTTACTTCTTTAGGAATAATCTGCTACTATAAAATGAGCTGATAATACAATGTACTATTGTAGATATTGGTCAGTAGTTATCTTTGCTTCCTTCTGGTTCCTATAACCAGGACTGGCTGAGCTGATAATAAGGGTTTTCCTTCACCTTTAACAAAGGTAATCTACTATGTGTTATCAACTGTGACTATTAAGATGTCCTCCTCTACAAGTAATGAGAATTATGAATGTTGCTTATATTTTCTCAGTTACAAGGCTTAATCAAAGATCAGAGAAGATGTTATTCTAATTAGGTAATTAGTAACTACTTGATCTTCCATTGCATTAAATTATTGGTGCAACAATTCTCAGCATTAAGCAACATGAGATGGTAGATTGAGGCTTTAATTTAATAAATTGTTAATAAGTTCAGAGTTATCATTGTTATAAATCAACATTTATTCTCAGGATTTGTGGACTTTTCAGTCTCATATATACTAAATCAACTTAACTAGTTTGTCCAGTCCATGCTGAGTACATTAATATATCTTTACTGTTCTGATTTACCTAGCAAAATCCTTTATACCTTCCCTACTTATTAGCTACATTTTCCCGGGGGGGGGGGGGGGGTTGTGGGAAGGCCCTCAGAATATCCATGGCCATCACCTGATGTCAAATCTGGTCCATGTGCTGCAGATAAGAATCTTTTACCAGCCCTGCTGTTGAAGATTGATTTGGATGTTAGGAAACTTAGTATTAGATAACTATTCTTTGGCTAAAAGCAGGGGTGTCAAACTCAAAGCCAGGGGGCCAGATCCAGCCCACAGGGTGCTTAGATATGGCTGATGTAGCTGCCCTGGAAACAGAGAAAGGGCCACGCGTGGCCATCCCGAGCTCCATTTTCACTGGCAGAGGGTTGCAGGAGGCCATCCCAGCTGAAAACAGAGATTGGGAGCCTGTTTTCATTGGTAGAGTACTCAGGCCAACACAGGCCAACACGAGTGACATTGAGTGGCCATGCCCACCCCAGCCCTCTGAGGTCAAACACAATCCTGATGTGGCCCTCAATGAAATTGAGTTTGACACCCCTGGCTAAGAGACTCTACTCACACATAGCAGGAAATGGAATTATCTTTGCTATAATAGCATGTAAATCAAGAAGAAATACAGTATGTATTATGATTAAAAGATTTGTATTGTCAGAAATAATTTTACTGGCAGCAGTTCCCAGTGCTAGAATTACAAACTCTGCTCATTGCAAAGAACTACCTGAAGATGAAATGTAATGTAATATAGTATAATGTAATATAGTACGATATGATATATGGTAGTATAATAATACTATACTATGCCATGCCATGCCATGCCATAACACAACACAACATAACATAACATAATATAAAAATGTGAGCAGTATAATATAAGGGTAAAGTTAAAGGAGTCCCTGCAGACTTTTCTCTGCTATTCATTGCTGACTATAGAGGGTGGTTCTCATCTCCATTTCAGGACCATTGAGCCCATGCTCTCCCAAGACATTTCCAGGTCATGTAGCCAGCATGACATCACGGACCGCGGTTACTACAGAAGTGATATCTATTTATCTACTTGCATTTGCATGCTTTCAAACTGCTAGATTGGCAGGGTCTGGGGCGAGAACGGGAGCTCATCCCATCGTGTGGTGCTTGGTTCTCGAACCTGGGCTGCCAGATTTCCAGCTGATGAGCCCAGTGTCTTAACTGCTGAGCCACCCCACCACCTGCAATTCAATATACAAGATAAAATATTAAAATAAGGTAAAACCATGATAAAATCACCATCTGATATCTAAGAAAGCTAACCATCTAATTGCTTCTGGTATTGCTGCAATGAGATCATCCCAGAGGCCTTGAAATTTCCTAAGGAAACATCCTTGAACTATATGTGTTATCATTTGTTCATTTGTTATCATGTGTTATCACAGTTGCATTGTGGGCTCTTGGCCACTTCCCACTCAAATAGCTTTGCCTTAATTCTGGCATTCTTAATTCTGTTCAGCGGCACCATATTTTTGATGGCAACTGCAATCCTGGAAGATAGGCTAGTGAGAAAGAGATTTTATGAAAGCATGAACCCAACTTGTCTAAGGCTAATTCCTGGTTGCCCTACAAAGTGTTGGTGTTCTATTATTTCAACAGAGGACAGGATAGGCAATCACTTGCCAGGATTATGGTTGTAAGTTTTTGGAGGTTACCAAGGGTTGGAATAGCTGAGAGGCAACATATTTTTCAATTTTTTTTGCAGCAGTTTCCATCCTGAATCTCTGCAACATTATTTGATTTGATACTGTTCCTTCTGTACTAGTTTTTGCATAAGTGTGTGTGTGTAAATGTATATCTAATATGTTTGTATGCGTGTGTAAATTTTCATTGTATGGCCATATCATCTTAAATCCATATCATCTTAAAAATTTCCCAAATTAGCAGTTATTTCATAATATGTGATTTTAATATGAAACCAGTTTAGCATAGCAGATTTTTGCTATAAGGCTGAAGATAAAGCTCAGTCTGGATTACATTGCAAATGCAAAGGATTCTTTTGCATCAGTATGATAAATTCTTAAATTAAAACATTAGTATATCACTTCTTATAGCTTGTGTTAATTAAATTTCCATTAACAAACTTAAACTATCGGAGTGACAATTGACTGTACAGTACTGGCTCATAAATTTATAATATATATTTGGACTTCAGGCAAGTATCGTCATTATTGAAGACTTTATTATTAAATATGAATGTATCTGACTTTAGACTAGCACTATGATCTTTATGAAGATCTATGTGTGTATGTGCATGTGTGGTCTATGAATTTCTGTATATATTTATATACACAGCACACATTTTTTTAAAAAGTGGAAAACTGTGATTCAAACCATTTGTTTTGCTGGTAATCAGCCAGAAGATGTCACTAAGGAGCAGCATATACTCTTGTATACTGGAAGTAATTACAGATAGTCCTCAACTTATGACCACAATGAGCCCAAAATTTCTTTTGCTAAGCAAGACATTTGTTAAGTGAGTTTTACCCCATTTTACAACCTTTCTTATGATAGTTGTTAAATGAATCGCTGGAAGTGTTAAGTTAATCACAAGGTTGCTAAGTGAATCTGGTTTCCCCATTAACTTTGCTTGTCAGAAGGTCACAAAAGGGAATCACATGACCCCCAAACACTGCAACCATGTCATATATATGAATCGGTTGCCAAGCTTCTGAATTTTGATCATGTGACCATGGGGATGCTACAACAGTCATAAGTGTGAAAAATGATCATAAGTCACATTTTTCTGTGTCATTATAACTTTGATCAGTCACTAAATGAACTGCTGTAAATCAAGGACTACCTGTACTCTTTAAACAAAGAACCATGCTATGAATGCAACATGGTGTGATGGACACATGATATTGGTTCCATTAATCTGCATCAGCTTAGACTCTTATCCAATATAGCTAAGGTAAATCTTGGCAACTTATTCACATGTTCTGGCCTTGATCATATACAGGTGAAACTTGAAAAATTAGAATATCGTGCAAAAGTTCATTTATTTCAGTAATGCAACTTAAAAGGTGAAACTAATATATGAGATAGACTCATTACATGCAAAGCAAGATAGCTCAAGCTGTGATTTGTCATAATTGTGACGATGATGGCTTACACCTCATGAAAACCCCAAATCCACAATCTCAGAAAATTAGAATATTACATGCAATCAATAAAACAAGGATTGTACATGCGACAATATCGGACCTCTGAAAAGTATAAGCATGCATATGTACTCAGTACTTGGTTTGGGCCCCTTTTGCAGCAATAACTGCCTCAATGCGGCGTGGCATGGAAGCTATCAGCCTGTGGCACTGCTGAGGTGTTATGGAAGACCGGGATGCTTCAATAGCGGCCTTCAGCTCTTCTGCATTGTTTGGTCTCATGTCTCTCATCTTTTGCTTGGCAATGCCCCATAGATTCTCTATGGGGTTCAGGTCAGGCAAGTTTGCTGGCCAATCAAGCACAGTAACCCCAAGGTCATTGAACCAGGTTTTGGTGCTTTTGGCAGTGTGGGCAGGTGCCAAGTCCTGCTGGAAAATGAAGTCAGCATCCCCATAAAGCTCATCTGCGGAAGGAAGCATGAAGTTCCCCCAAATCTCCTGGTAGACGGCTGCATTGACCCTGGACTTAATGAAGCACAGTGGACCAACACCAGTAGATGACATGACTCCCCAAATCAACAGAGACTGTGGAAACTTCACATTGGACTTCGAGCATCTTGCAGTGTGTGCCGCTCAATTCTTCCTCCAGACTCTGGGTCCTTGGTTTCCCAATGAGATGCAAAAGTTGCTCTCATCAGAAAAGAGAACTTTAGACCACTGAGCAACAGACCAGGTCTGTTTTTCTTTAACCCAGGTAAAACGCTTCCGATGTTGTTTGTTGTTCAGGAGCGGCTTGACAAGAGGAATACGACATTTGAAGCCCATGTCCAGGATCTGTCTGTGTGTAGTGGCTCTTGATGCACTGACTCCAGCCTTAGTCCACTCCTTGTGAAAGTCCCCAACACTTTTGAATGGCCTTTTCCTGACAATCCTCTCCAGGCTGCGGTCATCCCTGCTGCTTGTGCACCTTTTTCTTCCACACTTTTCCCTTCCACATAACTTTCTATTAATATGCTTTGATACAGCACTTCGGGAACATCCAATGTCTTTTGCAATTACCTTTTGAGGCTTTCCCTCCTTATGGAGGGTGTCAACGATGGTTTTCTGCACAACTGTCAGGTCAGCAGTCTTTCCCATTATTATGATTCCTACTGAGCCAGACTGAGAAACCATTTAAAGGCTCAGGAACCCTTTGCAGGTGTTATGGCTTAATTAGCTGATTAGAGTGGGACACTTTGAGCCTAGCATATTGAACCTTTTCACAATATTCTCATTTTCTGAGATTGTGGATTTGGGGTTTTCATGAGCTGTAAGCCATAATCATCTCAATTATGACACATCACAGCTTGAACTATCTTGCTTTGCATGTAATGAGTCTATCTCATATATTAGTTTCACCTTTTAAGTTGCATTACTGAAATAAATGAACTTTTGCACGATATTCTAATTTTTTGAGTTTCACCTGTACCTTATGAAAAAAAATGGAAGCATTTTAGCAATGGGAGGGAAAAGAAACTTCAGATAATTCACTTGGGGAAGAGCTGAATCTACTGGCTCATCCACCCAGATCACTGGTTGCTTCTCCTTAGAGCAGCTCAGTCTTTTTCAGTCTAGGTACACTTTGTAGTTATATGGACTTCAGTTCCCCAAATTCCCCACCCACAATGGCCAGTGCTAAGCAGGGTGTAAAAACTGGGGCAAGTAATAAAAAATAAAATACTCTTTCTAAAGCAGGGCTGTCTAGCTCCTGGCCTATGGGTCGGATGCTTTACGAGCTATTAATTTAGCAAAGGGGGAAAAAGTCCTGATACGTTACATTCTGTGATGATGTGAGTTTAATACCCCTGCTCTAAAGCTTGTGCTTTGAAAGTGAAATTGTAATGTTACGTCTAAAAGTCACAGCCTGGTGGTTGCCTTGAGAGTCTGTAGGAAGCCTTACTATATTAATGTTTGTTTGTTTTTTAATTCTCAGAATTTCTAATGTATTGCTGTGCAATGTTACCAGACGGGTATCATTTTGGTTTGTAGTCACAAATTCATTCACAAATATAACAACTATTCCCAGGAATGATGTGGAGGCCGCCAAAAGGTAATATACCTGGCATATATGTTATATATTTCCACAACTTTATTCAAAACAAATGTATTTATTTTTGTTAGGAGCACTGGCATATTTTCTTCAGTCTGAAAATGCTTAAAGCTGCATTGAGATTTGTCATAGTCCTGGGTTATACTAAGCCATGCTGCCAAATCTACTTGGGTTCCAATCAGTACACATTATGGCTGAACAGGATTAGAATCAGGTCCATGTCCAAGTCCAATTTCCAGATAAGGCATTAAATGCAACATTTTATGAAATGTGCAGATAGTTGGATCTCCCTATTGTATAGTAACTTCCCATTTTTCCCACTGCTCCTTGTATCATTTTATTGAAAAATGCAGTAAAGGCAGAGTAGAGGGCCATTGTTGATTAGTAGAAGTTAGGTATTATTCCACCTGGAAGGATTTATTTTATAATAAAATAAACTGGGAGAGGACAGAAAGCCCCAGCTCTGTCTCTGTCTGTGATGCTGTTTCCTTATCAGAGCCTTCCAAAGACTCCGAAGTTGGCCCAGGCTCTCCCTCAACCTCCTCCTCATCTGATTCTGCTGCTAGCTCTGCTGGCAGCCAAGGGGTTACAACAGATAAACTCAAAGACGATGCAAAGATGTACTGGTTATTTTCTTTACAAGCTTCAAAAGTGAACCATTATAATTTACATGTTTTAACTTGTTGAATTTAAGCTTTTACAAAAGATTTCTCTTTTAGAAATGCAGTGCTATTTGTTAAATAAACACGAATGTGGGAATGAAAGAGAGTGCATTGTTTGGGAGAGATTAACTTTTAAGCCTATGAGAAGATTAAACTGTTTTCAACGGAAAAACACAGAGGCAACTGCAGTGCACTAGGATGGGGGAAAAGATTATTGACCTGTTGATCCATGCAAAGAATAATGGAATGCATTTTAACTTTTTTGGCTGTGCTTTGAAGCATTCATTCAATATAAGCAGATTTAATACAAATTTCTTTCAGCATCACTGGCACCTTGTTCTAACAGCTTGGATTTAGCTCCATCACTTGTAGACATTAGCTGTTCTTTTGAAATACCTATTACTCTGTTTAAAACTATATACAGATAGTCCTTGACTTATTACCACAACTGAGTCCAAAGTTTATGTTGCTAAGCGAGACAGTTAAGTGAATTTTGCCCCATTTAACGACCTTTCTTGCCATAAATGTTAAGTGAATCACTGCAGTTGTTAAGTTAGTTACACAGTAGTTAAGTAAATCTGGCTTCCCCATTGACTTTGCTTGTCAGAAGGTCACAAAAAGGAATCACATCACCCCAGGACAATGCAGCCTTCGAAGATAAATGTGAGTCTGTTGCCAAGCATCTGAATTTTGATCACATGACCATGGAGATGGTCTTAAGTGGGAACAATGTTCATAAATCACGTTTTTCAGTACCCTTGTAACTTTGAATGGTCACTAAATGAACTGTTGTAAGTTGAGGACTACCTGTAGCTAAGAAGTGAATAATAACTTATTAAAAGCAGTGTTTCAGTTATGGAGAGAAAAGAAAGTGAAATTAATAAAATTCCAAAATATATCTTCCTTCAGTTTGACTCCTCTTGATCCAGACAGATTTTTGAAATCAAAGCTTATTATCCCATCTCCGTTTTGAAATATTAATCAATAAGACCTTTGAAGTTTTAAACTCAGAACCAGCAATTTGAACTGACTCCAGAAAAAAAACTGATAGCCCCCCAATAGAATATTAATTTTAACATGAGAATTAATAATGTCTGACACAACACTTACAGTTTCTATTTTATCAGTTTATGTTTTGGGGCCAACTTTAAGGCAACATTACACAAAGTTTATAATAATAATGAATTTTGGAAATGAAATGAATGTAACTGGTGTTAAATCGTTTTCTTCCTCATGCTGAACATAACAAGTTGCTATTTTTATTGACTACATTTGATTTGATTGATTATAAATAAGCCAAACTAATTCTTTTTAAAGAATGAATAGAAACCGGATCAACAATGCTTTTTTTATTAACTGACGACACTCTGCAGTTCTTGGAAATCTCATCAACTTTAACTCCACCAGCTGAGCAATCTCTGCCCATTTGGCTGATTGTATTTGGGGTTATTCTTTGCATCATTGTGATTGGGATTGTTTTAGTCATATCTTTTGGGATTTATCACCGCAAGAAGTAAGTATTTTGAGTTGTCTTGCTTTGGGTCAGTCCACAAATAGAAATGAACAATATCTTTCCTTATTGCTTCCTGGTTTATTTTTTTCCCATTGTTTAATAAATGTAGGCTAATATATGCCTATTCTCTATGTAAATGCTAACTAATCCATGGTGTATATCCATGGTATATCCACAGTCTTTTGCTCCAAGTAAGCATCAAGGAAGACAAGCTAATAAGTAAGAGAGACAGGTGGTGCTTGTAATATCATTATAGGGAAGCACAAAGGTCTAATCAGAAGCCGAGGGAATGGGAGAAAGGAAAACACAAGCAGCAACACTGCCTGGTGTGCATATAGATCTGAAGGGGTCAGGCGAAGTAATGCATATACTGTACATCATTCTTATTTATTTATTTATCAAATTTATTTGCTCCCTATCTCACAGTTCAGGCAACTCTGAATATATAGTGAAGCCTCTTCACTGGTATGTTCTAAGGGTAAATGATACATTTGGGTAGATGCTGTATTAGAGAATGAGCATTCACAATGCATTTATTTACATATTTATTTACTTACTGAAGTTCTCATATAATGATCTTAGGTGGCACACAACAATCAATGCAAACCACCCTTTCCATAGGTACCAGACCAATACTGTGTTTCCCCAAAAATTTGGGAGGCGGGCCAAATAAGCAACAGGTCTTATTTTCGGGGGATCTCTTACCACTTAACCTTAGGACCACCACAGCCAGGCATCCCACGGCCCAACACCTATCTGCTAGCTGCTACCTGACTTCCTCTGTGGTGGTGCATTGTGCCGATGCTGCCGCTTGCATGCCAATACTGCTGCTCATGGCAGGAGGCAGCATGGCACGTAGTGCTGGTGCCACCACCTGCATCAGGAGGCAGCATGGCATGTTGTACCATTGCACATGCAAGCGGCAGCACCAGCAGAATGCTGCATGTGGCATCCTGATGCAAGTGGTAGCCGTAGAAGAACTCAGGCAGCAGCATGACAGGTGTCGGGCATGGAAGGCCTGGCTGTGGCAGTCCTAAGGTACGTGGGTGCAGGGCGGGTGGGGCAGCTCCACCCCCTGCCTTAGCTTGATTTTTAAGTGTGCACTTCGCCCCACCACATACGGCCAGATGGTGGGATGGAGTGGCTGGGGTCTTAACTAGGGCTTATTTTTTGGGTAAAGCTTATATTAGGCACATTTAAAAAAAATCAAGCTAGGGCTTATTTTTGGGATATGTCTTATTTTCAGGGAAACAAGGTAGCCTCTCAAATCAACACCCCTATCACACCCAAAACCCAGGAGAGGAGTTAGGTCTCCATGACCTTCTGGAAATCTAAAAGGGTAAGGGGATACATAATTGTTGTCTATCATGTAATGGAGCTATTTGTTGCAACCTCTCCTTCAAGAGGCACCTTTGCTTTTGCCACATTGGGGCATATCGGAAATACTTTATTTATTGTGTTAGACAACTAACTACTGAAATTGGTAGCCTGAGGGATTGCCTTTTTCCAAGTGTCTCTACCAGTCTAACCAGATTGAGCAAAAGTGAGCATGCTGCAGATCCCATCAAAGAGTGTTGGCTGCCAGTGATCAGAAGACGGGCTTTTCCCACAGTGCCCTTGTTCTATGGAACATCCTCTTTTCAGACGTTAGAATGATCCCAACCCTGTTAGTTAGCTTTCTGTAACGCCCTAAAAAATCCCTGGCTTTATTCCTGTGCCTGGCGTGATGAATGCGTCAAGGACCCAATTCCTGGTTGTGTTACTAACTGCCCAAGTACTTTACTCCTATGTATATTTAATCTGTGTGTTTTAAGTGTTTTAAGATGTTTTTAGTATTTTTAACTATAATGTATTTTTATAACTGTAAACCAGAATATTTTATAAACTGTAAACTAGAATCATTGACTGAGATGAGTGGTTTTAGAAATTGCATAAATAAGTTAACAAAGAAACAAACATGGGAATTTATTCAGACTGTTAATTTTAGTGGGTTATGAAATAATATATGAGTGTGTGGCTTTCCATTTGAGAGACATGCAAGAAAGGCTTAACAGCAGTGAGACTTGATAAAGCCTACCTTGCAATCAAGGTAATTTACTTTTAGCAAATGTCTCCAGTCGAGAGTTTGCAGGATATTTACAATATACTTTTATGACTGTTAATATTACTGATATAGAAATCCTGAGGTTGTTACATTATGCATTATGGGTTGAAAATGTGCTGTACTTGACCTTTGAGTTCATTATCTCCTCTAAATTGCTGATGCTGCATCATAAATCATATGGGATGGTCTGTCAACCTATCAGTGGTGCTCAAGGTCAAAAACTGAAGTAGACCAGAAATTGTTAATTTGCTCATTTATATATAGATTCACTAACAAAATTACATTTTAGGAAGAAGCATCAAATAGTTGCAACCATTGGAATTATATTGAATTATATTTGAGAAAATAAAAATAATACTGTCAGCTGCCTATCTTTGCTTTCTTTGAAGCTTACTAGCAACTTTCATAAACAGTATTTCTGGTGCCCTCAGGTTGGTATTGAGGCCAGGCAGTTGGTGGACACAGCTGTGCCATTTTCTGGGCAACATTTTTCGAAATGCTTTGCCATTGCCTCCTCCCTAGAGCTAAAAGAGAGTGACTGGCCCAAAGAGCTGTCTTTGTGCCTAAAGAGTGACTTGAACTCACAATTTCCCAGTTTGTAGCCTGAGCTCTTTAACCACTATACCAAAGCTGAACTGTATTATAATGTTTATAGAAGGGTAATTTATCTGCAAAGTTAAAGCTGAAATGATGTACGCTTTTCATATTTTACTGACAGTAGCAATTTATTCTGTCTCTTTTACAGACTTAAAAATGTTGAAGAAACAGAAGATTTAGATGATAAATATGAAGCAGCCACAACAATGGAAAATAGAATTACCTGTCATACTTTAGATTTAAAAGCTGGGCAGATTAATGGAGTCTATGCAGCAGCCGAGTTTACGCCCTTATGAACATAAAGGGATGCTGTTTCTTGGTCTCTTTCTGAGACTCTAACCTCTTTTATCTGGTTTTTACTGCTGATTATCAATAAAAAGAAAATTATGTACTTAGTTTCTTTTTTGCCCTTGGGGCATTTCTTTTGATAAGCGCACTTAAATAGTGATAGACCTGAGTTTCTCATTCAAGGCAGTGTTCTTCATGAAAATATGTAAATGTTTAATAAAACTCCCACTGTTAAATGTTCTTTGGATGTATCAGTGATGCAATAATATAACCTTATTATGATTTATTCATATCGTCACCTTTTCTATTATTTTATAACAGAAAACATATGAGCTGCTTTCTTCTAACATACAAGCCAACTTTTGTTACCACAGGATTCTATTCACTTCAATGGGCACCAAAGACAACAAAATATAATTTTTAAAAACATAAAAGATAACAAATTGTAGTTTCTGTTTACAATGTCTTCTTGGACACCTGTATAGTTAACTATATAGATGTTATTACAATTCTCCCACTAGGGTCTTTGTAAAAACTAACTGCAAAGTTATAGTGGTTTGTAATTAAGGTTTTTGTCCTGCAGTGATGTAATAAGTGTGTTTCTTTTGGCATATTTTATCAGGGGTACCAATTGGATGATAAAAGTGGAATAGCTGAAGTAGAATGTAGAATAGATAGAATATAGATAGAATAATAGGACATACCTCAAGGTTGAATATTAAAAGGGGATATAATATATTTTGGATTTTTGAACAGTGAATTATAACACAATTAAGAATCTAAGTCTCTTAAATTTCAAAAACTGGGAAATGGTCAAATAATTCAGAAATAGGTAGGGAAGAGGGCAGAATCTGTTATGAATTAGTAATAATTCTTTTAATGCTAAGAATAGTGCAAAAAAAAAAAAACCCTTTTCCAAAACTAACAACACTTTACAGTATTCTTTTGTTTATTAGTCTATTGATCAAATTAGATATTTTTAGGGAGTTATAGCAGCAGAGATTATACTCTAATCTTCTCAGTTTACCTAGATCATTAACATTTCTGAATTTAAAATCTGCAACATCTTGTAAAAGTTATGTTAACAATGTCACTGAGTGAATTTTTTTTCCTTGGGTTTAATTATCTATACATAGGAATATTTTGTGCTTATGTTGGATTCAGGAAAAATAAAAACCAAAAACTTTTCTTGAATGTAATCTGAATTTTTCCTAATCCTTATATTTGTTCCTGGGTAATAACATTGAAAGCCTTTCCTCATTTTCCAGTGATTTATATTTGCCAAAGGATAATTTTGGCCTGATCAATTTAAAGATGTCATTTGAAGTGTTTCAACTCTAACCATACATATGTTCCAGACTTTGAAAACTCAAGCCATTCATTCTTGTATTAGACACTCTTAGAAAATCTTGCCATCAAATGGTGCTTGGAATTTGTGAAGGTAAATGAAGACTAAAAGACAATTATCATTCTGCCTATTGTTTTTATCTTTAAGGTAAATGCTAAATTGGTTGGACCCAGGATAAACACTTATGATAATCTTACTTATTGTGATGGGACTAATTTCCAGTGCTACAACTGCAGCTATAAAGCAATATAATCTACTCAGAAATCAATACTTTTAATTTCAGTGGGAATTAGTTACAAAGAGCTGCCTTAATTCTGTACTCTACAATAAACCAAACCGAATTCAATACTGTACTAAGCTATGTGGTGTGCATCTTTGTGGCTTAGTGCATTATACAAACCCAGCATAGTTTGTAAACCATAGCTTCTAGCTTGGGTAAATCTAAGCAGTTGTGATTAATTCACAGGCTTTGTGCATTGTATGAACAGATATAACTAATTCTTTAGTCTTTAGCTATCTACTTTACCTAGAAAATAAGTTCACCTTATTCCTCCTAGAAGCTCTTTCCCAGTACCATATGTCTTGGACTGGTGCTCTAAAGATGTACTAGGTCCGTGATGGCAAACCTATGGCACATGTGCCACAGGTGGCACACAGAGCCATTTGTGTGGGCAAGTGAGCTCCAGCCAAATTTATCTGCATTGCGCATGCATGCACCTCCCAGCTGATTTTTGGCCTGTTTGAGGTCGTTTTCACCCTCACGGAGGCTCAAGGGAAGCCTCTGCAGCCTCGGGAGAAGTGCCAAAACAGGCCCATTTTCAGCCTCCTGAAGTTCCCGAGGGTTCCCTTGAACCTCCGGGAGGGCAAAAACTGCTTCCCCCGGGCTCCAGAGGCCATCTGGAGGCTGAAAACGGGCACTTCCAGTATTTCAAAAAATCGGCTGGGAGGTACACACATGCGCAGTGCAAGTAAGGGGGCAGGGCGGGGGTGTTGTGCACGCATGTGCAGGGGTGGTGGGGTGCATTACATTGTGGGTGCCAGCACACGTGCACGCTTCTGCTACACCACAACAAAAAGCTTCACCATTACTGTACAAGATGAAGCATACTGATTAAAAAGATACTGGCAGATAAGAAAAGTTGTGATTGTCTTTCCTACTTTTAATCTTTAGCAACTGATTTTTTTCACCTCTTAAAATTAAAATAGAAATTAAACAGATTACATAAATAGAACGAAGCAAAATAAATATCAACATATCAGATAGTAGAATAGGAAATAATTTTGAATGACTTGTCTGTTTGCTCAAGCACTTCCCAATAGGGCAACACCATCCTGATGTCTTGGACTAAAATTGCCCAAATCCTGGGCAATTTCTGTGATATCTGTGGGGAATGGGAATTACAGTCCAAACACCTGGTAGACATCTTGGAAAAGCTATTAAATACCATTTGATAAACTCCCGGATCAGATTCAAATAGTTACTACTTATTTCACCTGTAAAAGTTGTGTCAAAGTTCTAGGGTTTTTTCCATCAACTGCACAAGATGAGTACTTAAATAAATGTTTAAGCAATAAAAAATTACTTACATATGTTGTTTATAATTAACAGCTTCAAAATTGCTTTAACGGCTTCTCAAAATTGTTGCATTCCACATGCTATATTTTGACATTACTTCCAGAATTTGCAGCCACTAACTTTTGTTATTCTGATGTCAGGTAACTTCATAGTCAACACCAATGAGCCAAATCCTAACAGGTCTCAATATCATCAGAGACAGAATTATGCTTTTCTGGATTTCTGGGAATTGTATTCTTCAAGGGTACCAAGCTGGGGGGAGCTGCCTCTGGTACCAACACCATTTTTAAACATTATTTCATTTTTCTTCTTTAATTTGCAATGTTCTAATTTTATTTTTTATTTTATTTACTGATTCTTGCTAATATGCTATATTACCACTAGGCAAATCAACTGGACATAATTGTAAATGGAACACTTGTGCTGAAATTTGTCCTCTAGCTTCCTAATATTTTTATTCCACCATGAAAGAGACTTCTGTTTTTCTTTATATTACAAATTATTCCACAACTAAGAAGACAGAGTCTTTTGCTTTCTGATTTACATTCTAATCTGAAAAAGGCCAGTTTAGAACGACATAAACTGGGCATTAACGGAAACTGGAATCATTGTAGTCCAACAGAGAAATGATTATACAACAAAGACTCTTGTCTGTTCTGCTCAAAAGTCATTTCATTTAAAACAGCATTCCTTCTTTTCTGAAGAGTTTACAACAGCCAACAAACAACTGCTAATGTAAATTAGTCTTCACAAATATATATATTTGTACATATATACAAATTTACACACACACACACACACACACACACACACACACACAAACAGACAACACATCATGTAAGATAGTAAAAACAAATCACATTTAGAAAGGCAACAATGCATAGATGAAATGCCTTCCAGGAAAGGAAGATTATTATCAGTTGCATAAGGTGATTAAGGATGACGGGAAGGGTGGGTTGGGTACAGCCAACAACTTTTTCTGGGCAAAAACAACGATTATATATCTGAACTATAAGGTACTAAGCCAAGGGTGTTTTTTTTTTTTTTTGCAATCAGAGTAATGATGCACAGACAGTGATTAACTTCACCACTTACAGGCAAGGGCAAAGATTAGCTCAGCTCATTTAGCTCATAAAGGAAAGCAGAAAAGTGACTGCATAAAGGAAGAGGAGGTATGGGTCTGAGGAGGTCCAAGGGACTATGTCCAGAGGTGGAACTATTAGAGAAAAAGGCAGAAGAAGCTGAGGAAAAAATAAGTTGGAGGGAAGTCACATGGCTGACTCTTCTAAGATAAGGAATGCTAAAGTTCACGTATTCATTTGATGCAGCTAACCAGGACTTTGGCATTAGGCCTTCTAGTTGTATCATATTGTCTAAGTCTGTTTTTAAAATCTCCAAGTTTTCATCTCAGAAAATGTGACAGAACAGATGATAACTAGCTCTATCATTGACAGGATGCTGGAGAAATATTAACTCTATGTAAAAGCCTTTCAAAAGAAAACCATAAAATGCTTAGAGGTAATTACCTTTCTCCAGAAGTTAATTATTCACTTTTTCTTACTTGGCTTTAACCCCCACCCACCCCCACCCTTCTAGATTTTGTCCTTTTGCTGGATTAAAACTATAAAATGCCCTGTGAATAGGTTTCTTCCTCTTTTTCTAAAGCCAAGCACTGGATAAATACTAATGAAACAAGCACTGGTCAGGAAGCCTTCTTCAAGGAGCTTTACCCATCCAGCATTTTCTGACCTAAAAGGAAATATGTTATCCTGGCTCTGCTTGACTTGGAGCTTTGTTGTTCTGGCTCTGGCCCAGGATGAGACCAAGATGGCTGCAGAGTTTTTAAAGCAATTTGATATCCGTGCAGTTGATCTGTATTATAATGCATCCATCGCTTCATGGAATTATAATACCAACCTGACAGAAGAAAATGCCAAGATAATGGTGCGTACCTATTGATAACTATTTGCTGTTTATTTAAGAAATAAATGGGATTGTAAAAGAGGATATTAAAAATGATCTGGAACGGTGAGTCAAATAAAAGCTAAGTATCATTAAGAAATAGATTAAAATGGCATTTGCTGAACTTAACAGCATCATAAAGCCTACCAGAAGTTTCCCTGAATTACAACTGTAG